CTCCCAGCATCTCGGCACCCGCCCGGGCAATGCCTCGCTGGACCGGGGGGACCAGGCGCGTGGCTCCCAGTGGAGGACGTACGGCACCGAGGAGGATCTGTGCTCCGTGCCGTACTCTGGTAACATCTCCTTGGGCATTAGTTGTATTATCCCATAACCCAGAGCAGCCCTCAAACGTGAGTTGAGGCCGTGGTGCTGCAAAAAGCGAGTCCTGCAGGGGTTGTTCGATCCCAGCTCGCTGGGGCTGCAAAACCAGGTGGAATCAGGGTGATGGGGAGTGGGCACCTCGCTAGCCCCCATGCCAGGCTAACTCACACCTCTCACCTCAGTCCTGCCTTCAGCTGCCCCAGACACAGCCTCAAGCAAGGGCTCCTCTTTTCCCTCAGAGATTTACACCATCCAGGGCAACTCGCACGGGAAGCCCTGCACCATCCCCTTCAAGTACGACAACCAGTGGTTCCACGAGTGCACCAGCACGGGGCGGGAGGACGGGCATCTCTGGTGTGCCACCACCCAGGACTACGGCAAGGACGAGCGATGGGGCTTCTGCCCCATAAAGAGTAAGTGGGGAGAAACACGCTGCACGGGGTGGAGCAGAAACCCCCTCTCCCACCCTGCCAGGGCCTTTAGTGCCTCTCCCCTTCCCTCCTGCCTCATCACTCCAGGCAGGAGCAGCCCCAGTGGCTTCTCTCTCCCTGGCTTTTCTGAGTTACTGGGGTCTTTTGGAGCCGGATTTTGGGGCTGCACTGGATGCTCACCCTGCTCATCCCTGCAGGCAATGACTGCGAGACCTTTTGGGACAAGGACCACCTCACCAACAGCTGCTACCAGTTCAACTTCCAGTCAACGCTGTCGTGGCGGGAGGCCTGGAATAGCTGCGAGCAGCAGGGGGCCAACCTGCTGAGCATCACCGAGATCCACGAGCAGACCTACATCAACGGTGAGACGATGGCAGCCTGGCTGCGCTCCTGCTCTCCTCACCTGGGGCAGAGCTGGTGCCACCATGGCCGTCGCTGGTGCCAGGTTGCTCTGCCTGCCCCAGGTGGTTGGTTTGGGGCTGCTGAGAGGTTGAGTGTGGAGCTGGGGCTGGGAGGGGACTGATCCTGCCCCTCTGCTTGCTTTGGTCCCAGGGCTGCTGACAGGGTACAGCTCCACGCTCTGGATTGGGCTCAACGACCTGGACATCAACGGAGGCTGGCAGTGGTCAGACAATTCGCCCCTCAAGTACCTCAACTGGGAGAGTGGTGAGACAGGGGAGTCACAGTGGTGATGGGAGGAGCAGGGAACAGCCTTTGGGCACTGGAGATGGCCCCTTGGCAGGGAAGGTGGCCTGGGCTGGAGTGTCCCCTTGCTGCCTGGGGAGGGAGAGCCCCATGGGGTTGTGGAGCAACCTAGGACATCCGTGGAGCTGGAGCAAGGACACGAGGTGCTGAAGGGGGTTTGTCTCTCTGCAAGCCCTCAGGAGGCCAGCAGATAACCTGGGTTGAGCTTCCTTGTCTGGGGGGTTGTTGCATCCCAGCTCGGTGCTGGAGTGTGGCTGAGCAGTGGTCCCCAGCTGTGGTCACCCATCTCCCACCCGGGGGTGCCTGAGGGAAGGAGGACCCATTACAAGGGCTTCTCTGGTCGTGCCCAGAGACACTGGTGGGGACAGTGATACCCCAGGAGGAGGTTTGGGGTCAGGTCTGGGGCTGTGTCTTCCCCAACTGCCATCCAGCATTTCTAGGTAAAACAGTGATGCTCCAGGTCCTTGTGCATCGAGGCACAACAAATAATCCCAGTCATGCGGAGTCATGTCTTCACTGTGCAAAATACCAAAATAAGCAGCTTTTTACTGGTGTTGGAGCAGGCAGAACTGCAGCCAGATGGCACTTGCCCTCATGCGGTGGTCTGCCTGCGTCGGTGGCTCTGCCACAGCTCCTTGGCAGCATATCCCCTTCCTCCCCCTGCCTTCCAGACCAACCTGACAACCCCAGCGAGGAGAACTGCGGGGTGATCCGCACCGAGTCGTCCGGGGGGTGGCAGAACCGCGACTGCGGCATCGCCCTCCCTTATGTCTGCAAGAAGAAGCCCAACGCCACCGCCGACCCCTTCCTGACGGGTGAGCGGGGGGATGAGGACCACCAGGAAGGGGCAGTCCCGTGTCCTGGCTGGGTGTGCTCCCATCCTGGCACGGTCAGGGAATGCTGCCTGCCCATGGAGATGCCCGTGGTGTCCCCAGTTGGCTGGTGCCCTGCATGTGTGGAACAGTGGTTGAGCTCCCCAGGGCTGCTGAGGTTTGGAAAAAGTCCTCCCGGAGGAGCATCCCCTGAGACGCACTTGGTGCAGTTACAGGGTGGGTGGTAGGGGAGGGATTGAGGGCAGGAGGAGGTCCCTGTGGTTCTCAGGGGCTGAGATGCTCTCTGCTCTACTTTGCTTTGAGATTTTGTTCTGTCCCCGGAGCTCTAAAGCCACCGTTGCCTGCACCTTGCCATCACATATTAAATTTTGGCTGGAGCTTTCCCGCAGTGGCTTTGGCTTGGTCTCCTGAGCACCCCATGGGACTGTGGTCCCCTTGCCATGATCCCCTCCCTGCCAGGGAGAGACTTGGAGAGTGGGACAGGAGCCCTCAGGCTTCCTCATGTCCTGCCAGACTCGTGGTCGGAGGTGAAGGTGGACTGTGAGCCCAGCTGGCAGCCCTTCC